TCTCATTACCCTGCTCTGATTTGATTGGTGATACATTAAATTAATTTTTCCCCAAGTTGAGTCTGTTTTGCCCGTGACAGTAATTGGTGAGTGATCTCTCCCTGTCCTTATCCTGACCCAGGAGCCTTTTGTTGTATTTTCTCTCCCCTGTCCAGCTGAGGAGGGCAGCGATAGAGCAGTTTTGGGGGGCACCTTGCCTCCAGCCTGGGTCAACCCACCACAGTTTTAGAAAACAGGTAAACAATACATAACCAGTATGAATCAGATAATTGAAAGGAGCACTCAGGACCTTGAGGGGAGTATAATTTGCAAGGCCAGCAGTACCGTACCAGCAATACCACATAAAGCCAAGATGACCTATATAACAGCATCAGAAATACCAAGTCTGGTATTTCTGATAGGAATATGGGGACAAATAGGGAAAAAGTAATTACAGGCTGCTTTATTTAGTAGGAGACATGAGTGAAGAAAAGCAGGTACAAAGGCGGCAAAAAAGAAGGTCAAGAAATGGTAAAAGAAATAACGACAGCGAAAATGTAGACGTTGACAGACAGTAGTAAGTTGATCTGTAGACACTGGAGGAAAGCCATGTGGAAACCTACCAGACTCTCCACTAGGTTCATGTCTGAAAGACTCAGTGTGGGAGGGTAAGACATGATATAATTCTAAGTCATAGAATTGTAATTTAGTAATAGAAGTGTGTAATTAATAAATAACATAGCCTTCTATATCAGTTATGTCTGACACCTGAATTTTAAAGGGCTCCAGGACAAGAGTCTTCCTGTGACAGATGCAGTTGGACTGGTGTTGCACTCCAGAAGCGCCTACCATGAGGGAAAAGAGGATGCTAAGGAATAGCCCTGAAGCTATGAAGGTCAGTGCCAGTTAATTCAACCTCACTAAGAAACCTCCTGAAAGGTATCTACTCTAGTTACAGTGTATTATAACAATGCCTCGTTTACATGAGAATGTTCACATAATATGAAGATCCAAAGTTTCTACGAGAAACAATAAGAAGCAAATGGAAAATGAAATTACGATTAAGCATCCTTCAGACTGTTGATGCTTCATTTAAGAACATCCCCTGTTGTTCATTATAGGTAGACTTTTAAGGATGCAGATTCATCCAAGAGCAAACACTTTATACAACTCAACCACATATTAAATGTTGCTGTTAGAGTCTTCAGAGCCATCTCCCACACTGCATTCACCTCAGGAGTTCCCAACACAAGAAGGACATGGACCTGTTGGAGCAAGTCCAGAGGAGGCCACCAAGATGGTCAGAGGGTTGGAGCACCTCTGTTGTGAAGACAGGCTGAGAGAGTTGGGGTTGTTCAGCCTGGAGAAGAGAAGGCTCCAGGGAGACCTTAAAGCAGCCTTCCAGTACCTAAAGGGGCCTACAAGAAAGCTGGGGAGGGACTTCTGACAAGGGCCTGGAGTGATAGGACAAGGGGCAATGGGTTTAAACTGGAAGAGGGAAGATTGAGATTAGATATTAGGTGGAAATTCTTCACGGTGAGAAGGGTGAAGCACTGGCATATGTTGCCCAGAGAAGCTGTGGATGCCCCATCCCTGGCAATGTTCAACGGCAGGTTGGATGGGGCTTTGAGTAACCTGGTCTGGTGGAAGGCGTCTCTGCCCATGGCAGGGGGCTTGGAATGAGATGGTCTTTAAGGTGCCTTCCAACCAAACCATCCTATGATTCTATGATTTTGTCAATAACTGTCATTGCCTCACAAAGGTAAGATTTAAGATTGTGTGGCATGTTTCTTTAGCTTTGTGGATGTACTTTACAATCAAGAAAGACACTGCATGGACCTACTCATCCATATTGAATACGTTCAGCATTTATTTGCAGTTACAATTTAATGAATATTAATTGGTACCACATATATGATACCATATTGAATCCATCACACTAACATCTAGTTAGTAGAATAAAATACCAACCTCAAAATATTTGCAGCCCAAAACTATGGAAAATAATTTTTAATAGGATGTAACAAGAAGTTGAAATATTTCTTTTCCTTAAGTAGGACAGGACTTTGGAAAGGGTGGAATTTACACCTTGGGAGCAATTACAACTTTGGCCCAAAAAATTAAGAGAACAGAATACATCAAACTTTGCAGCAAGGTTTTCAGTGTGGGCAGAACCTGTTACAACCTATGCCATGTGCCTTGGTATGCAATGTTTCTATACTTCTCAAGGAGGGGCCATGAACCCATCTCAGGCCCAATATACTTTGATTTGAATAAAAGCCAGTGTATCACATCATGTGCATCAAATGACCGTAGACAATGACTGAGTGCATCTTCGCAATGATTAGCTACACACAGATGCTTCAGTCTAGTCTAATGCACACAGAACCACATATTCACAATCACTCACATACCCACCAGGTACTGAGCAGGTACCTGGAAAAGTAGTAGGCAAGGACTAGGCCACACGACAGAGCTACTCTGATGGGCCAGACCCAGCCTACCGCTGGATCCATCCAAGACAGCTATGGCACTAATGTACATTTGTAGAAAAAGACAATGTAAAAAACCCACTGATGTAGATTTGTATATAAATATAATAATGTACATTGTATATATAAAAATATAGAATGGTAAAGGGCACCTGCAGTATTTTCAGATATTGAAACCCTCAGCATAAATCCAGGAGCAAGGAAAATCCATAGCATACTATCGTGTTTTAACTCATGTGACTTAATGGGAAAAAAAAAATCAAAGAAATACAAGTCCAATAAAAAAAAAAAAAAGTAGAAAAAAGGTATCTCCATATCTCACCTTGCCAGTGATGTTTGTAATCACACATACGTGACAGGGCAATCATCATGGCACAGTAGAGTGGGAGAATTGCTGCACAAAGCCGCCAGCTCTTCCCCCGGCCATTTTCTGTGAAGCAGTGTAACTTTCCAGCTAAGTAGAAGGTGGTAAAGCCAAGGCCTGAAAACGCAACTGGTAAAGAAAAACACATAATTACAGTACTTTGTAATTAACACTGTATGATATTATCCCTTAAGATCCTTTAAGATCTGACAGCAGGATCCTTCTACTGCATAGAAGTCTTGGACTTTTTAGGGTGATATTATGAGCTAAGGTAAGTTGAGAAGACCCACCTGCAAAAAACTGAGTTTCATAATTTGAATGGTGATTCTTGTGTAACCGTATAAATGATGCTGTATAACTTAGTGTTTTAAAAGGATGCAGCAAACTGCCTAGGTAGAGTGTTTTCTTGTTTTGTTTTGCTTTTTTTTAATAAAACAATCATGATCTTACAAACTTTAAAAAAACACAGTTCTTCAGGGGCTGAGTGGGAAAAGGTAGTCTCCCACAAGATCCATGACGTACGTATGTTCTCCACAGCAGTGGTGTTATCTATGCAGCAATGCAAGCAATCGGTCAAGTGAACGCTGCAAAGCAAATCAACATCCTTCTCATAGATACTCAGCTTTCACATAATCTGACATGTCTGCAAACACTCTGGTAGCTCTAGACATTCATCTGTCTGATTGCAATTGAATTTTTTTTTTCCCCTTTAGCTATTTACCTTCTTCCTCCGGGGGAGACGTTGGCTGTGGAAAGAATCCCTGATTCTATTTGCACATTAAATTAAACATTTAGGCAAATTTTTAACTTGAGTCACAAAAGCTCTTTCACACTTAACCTTCAGCACATCTTTCCCAATTTCAGACCAATTCTAAAAAGTTAAGGTTCAAAGCAGAAAAGGATTCAGCCAGTTTTTACTGCAATTGAATTACATTTAAATGAGATTTTTATGTTCCATTAACCTGTTTCTACAGAACATGCACAACTGGCAGTGATGAGAGAACTCAGGCACCACGTTTCTGTACTGAACTTCTTTCTTGTTACAGCTGTTCACCTTCCAGAGAGATACTTGATGGATTTTTTTTTTTTTTAAACATGCATTATAATTTTTTTAAAAAAAACATTTTAACATTTTTTTTTTGCTGTAGGAAAATTAGTGCTGTGGCTGAACAGGTAGCTCTGTGAAACACATCTATTTTCTCCGCAAACGTCATACTGAATTTTGCTCCTGACTGCGGAGATCAAAATAGAACATAAACACATAAATCACAGATAGCAAAATTATAAATATGTATCCAAGCATTTGAAATCTTTTTTCTGACTACCTTTCCACTGTGTGATATCTAAACACCTCTATAAGAGCTAATAGGTCACATTCATAATACATAATTCTGTTCTGATTCTGTTATCAGTGAATTTAACGGTAAAATAATCATCAGTCCTAGGTCAGACATGCATCTTTTTTCTAATCTCTTGCTAGGGCTTTTCAAACGCCCTTCTCCTCATGTTCCAAAACACTGGATGTGATAAAGTAATTATTTTATGTTCTGCTAAGAAACCTACGGGACGGTCAATTTTAGCTGACAGTAGAATGGAGTGGTTTATACTAGACAGCTGTTTGAATGCCATTACTGAAGATTTGCATTTCATCTTCAAACACGCAAGTAAATCACTTCTTTAGACTGGCCATGGCAGAGCAAGAGAATGCTGATTAGTCATCAAAACACTATACCAAACATTGTTTCCTAGCAACTTTTTCAACCAGTGCTGATTCTGTACTTGTCAGAAGACAGTGGGAGGCAAACTTTAAAATATAACAAAAAATCCTGAATAAAAAAAGATTTCTTGCAGACTGAGTTACTTTCTCGTGTACAGACCTTTGAGAGTCATATAAACTTGCTTTGCCTTTCAGACTGTCTATCAGACAAGAAGAAATAATTTCTTCTGACATTTCTGTCATGGTATTCTTGAAATGAATGTATTTTCCTAAGAGTAGCATGTCTTACACAGAAACAGGCTGCGAGATGCAGAGTTGGAGCACCAGGCTACAGCCACCATGGAAAAAATAAATCTATGATCCTGACAACGTATCTCAAAAATTGGAATACTCCTCCTCGCTTTTCAAACATCTTCTCCAACTCTTAGTACCCAGTGTAGACTGACATACTTAAAATACCAAATAACATTTCTTCTTCTTTCCAGTGTAGACTTTCTCTTGTGCCTCACACATTTGCTAGATTGGCCACTGGAATATGACAAAAGACAACACTGCTCTCTTTTGTGCTATTCCTATTACACTAGATAATTTTTGTGGCATTGTCTTTTGTATCAAAGATCTGGAGCTCTTTATAGGGTTTGGTTTTTTTGAGCTCTGACAACACACATTCATATCTGCGTGAGCAGACAGAGGGTTGTGCATTCTGCAAACCTTTGGAACTAGAAACACGTATAAACTTACCCGAGATTGCAAGGACAGGACTTGTCTGCATCATTCCATCTTCCAGTTGAGTAAATGGAGTGAGGAAAAAATCTGTCTTGGATATGCAATATCAAGTGAAATCCTAGAATGAATACTTTCAAATAGTTCTTCTCAAAAATCAGTTTTATTTTCATATTTCCATTTTCTATGTCAGGTTATTGTTTTTTAGATCTTTAGAAGAAAATGAACTGAAATCTGAAGACAGTATTCCCAGGGAGAGGCATCAAGTGCTTGTGGCTTTATTTTCAGGCAATCTACAATGCCTAGCAATTTAAAGGGCTTAAAGAAATATTGCCCAAGCTATAGAGTAGGTGTTCAGTTCACAGAGTCATATTCAGGATTTTTAACATTTGCCGGGCAATTTTACTAGCAATTGTCAGTGTGGTAGACAGCAGCAGCGGATTTAGCTAAATGGGCTTTAGAGCAAACCTTGTGATATTTTTAAAAAATTATTTCCCCAGAATTTGCTTTTTTCAGGATGTGCCACATTTCCAGAAGGAGGTGCTCATGAATGAATATGGAAGTTCAGCAGCATCTATACTTGCACTATACTTGCAGATTTTGCCTTGGGTGTTGATGTGTTCCTCTAAACTAAAGGTCAGGAAGAAAGCAGACTCAAAAACACTCCTCCAGGGGAACTTACACCTAATGTAAGATGGAAGACTAATATAATGATGCTCTAGCTTGTGGCTATGAAACTAATATTTTGCAAAGCAGCTTTACGTTGCAATATTGTAAGATTGACTTCCCTTACCCTGGAGCGTGCACATCCAGAAAGAGCTGCTTGACCCAACAGTCCCAGTGTGTGCAGAGTCAGCAGCAAAGAACACGGAATTAACAGTGGAACACTCTGGGGTGTAGGAGTATCCATTATAAAAGTAACTATATATTCCAAGACAACTTGATTGCTGTGTACTCCATGGAGGCAACTTTGTTTGACAGCTGTATTTTGAAGATGTTGTCAGTCAATAACACGAAGAAAAACAATTCACTCTTCAGGAATCCTGGGCCTATAGCTGCTATTTACTGAAAAACTGGTCACTCAGTAGAACATATTTGAGCAGTTTTTTCCGCACCAGCTAGAGTCAGTACCTCACTGTATCACAAAGAAAATGCAAACACAAACATACACACAGCACATGCCCTAACTTATTACACACTGCCTAACGTTATAATAGAAATTATCATTCTGCATAAGACGGATTCCAAAGAATCAGCAAAGCAACGCTCCTCATCTACACAAATACTTCTGCTAAGTTGGCTTCTTCCCAGATCATAAGAAATTAATACTCTGTTTATATAAAGAAGGCAAGAGCAACATAAAATACCAACCAGCCCTCTTTGGAGACATCGAAACAAATGAAAATAAGAAAATCAGTCTGACGTAGTTTAAAGCAATGTTAACTCAAGATAGATGTTGATGCAAATTCCAGACACAAATATTTAATTAATTTTAAGTGTTGGAAGAGGAGAAAGGAATGAGTCAAACGCACAGTGTGAAGAAATGAGATATTTCAAACAAATTGTGTAGCTAACTCAAATCAAAGTCCTCACACTACAAGTTCCTGAACACAGGAAAACCTCTCCTGAGACAAGCCACATGTTCTGTCACGGCTTGATAAAATGCTGTACATTTTGTGAACGTATCGCAAGACATAAAATGGAGTATTTGCATTGTAGCAGCCCTGAAATCTCTCAGCTGAGACCACGTTACCATTCTTCTAAGTGCTGTGCAAACACTGAGAGGACACTGTCCTACAAAGCTTTGGAACTAAAGATACAAAGGCAAAGGAGGCAAGGTGAAGTGCAGAGAGTGGAAGGGATTTGCTCAGTCAAGGATGAAACCTGGCTCCTGGAGAGCCAAGGTCTGTTCCCTAGCTCGACTCTTGTGCTGCCTCACTGTTCTCTCCCCGCCTTCTGAAAGTTGTTATTGAACTATTCTCTTTAAATAAGGCAACTATGGTTTCTTAAGAAATTAACAGTGATGAAGGGAATTTTGGAATGAAAAGGGAAAAATTTAAGTCTTACTGGAATAGGTGCTATGAGCTAACTTAACAGGGATGAAAGACTTGAAATGAGAGGAAAACACGTTAAGCAACATTTGATTTGTCCCCTTCCTGTTTACTTCCATTTCCTGATCTGCTGATAGCATCAGATAATTGGCTTAGGGCCAGCGGGGCTATTTAAACACCAGTAAAAGTCCTGGATTTGCAAATCTTTGTACCTTTCTGAACAGATTCTGAAGGGAGTTGAGATTCATCGTGCCTGTTACTCATGTTTTGAGTTTCTTTAAAGGAGTCACTGGAATTCACATATAATATCTTTTTGCTGTATTTATATGGTTTTATTTCAAACTATTATCTACAAAGAATCTTTAACAATGCATATGCACTCTCCAGATAATATTAATGGTACTTAGATAGTCTCTTAGTCGTGAATAAACATTAGTTTGAGAAAAATGAGATTAATTTTCATTCCTTTTTATACCTGTTCTGGTTGTTTCGCTTTTTCATAATGTAGACCCACTGGTTATGTAGACCTGCCAGTCAAAGGTGTCTAACTGATTTTGTTTGCAACACGGCTATAAACCATTCAGAGACTGTACTGCAAGTTCTGTCATACGATCCAAGCCAGCAGGTGGTAGAGAGCA